AGAGAGAGAGAGAGAGAGAGAGAGAGAGAAAATGGCGAAGCTTGGATGGGTAGGATGGTGAACACGACGGCCGTTCAACTGGAATTGACACGAGGAGGAGGAAAAGGAAAATAATAGGAAAGCAGAGGAGACAAAGGGTGGGGGTGGATGCTCACCGAACCCGGAACCGACACAGAGAGCGGACATGACAGACTTTGAGAGGCGGATCGCGTTTAACGCGGCTACGAGAATAGCCGAGGATCCTCCAGATACGCGAAGATTGACTTAATTAGCGAGCAGAATCACCCACCTCGATGCATGGTTGAATAACAAGGAAAAGGAAAAAGAAATAACCAGTTATCTCTTTCCAACGAGATTTAACCGAGTCTTTTGAGATATCGAGAGGACCGATGTCGAGATTTTTCCCTGCATCCGATACAACGAGAGAACACTTTGTACAATCAATCGTACAAACGAAATGTTTAAAACACGTCGAGCGTCGAGAAAGAAGTACCGATGAACTTTCCATAACGTGGATTATAATTCGTATCGTATTTGTCGAATTATACGATTTGGCATCGTGTACAATCGTAACGTACAAATGATTTTATTAAATTGAACTTTCCATAACGTGAATTAACCTTTCTTCCCGAAATTTCTGTTTATTAATGAATATTTTCGAATAATGTGAAAAGAAATTATTAGGTCGTATCACATGAAATTGCCGTTTTTATTAATCGAAAGAAAAATCATATATTTTCGAAACTATAATAGATTTTAACTGATTTCATTTTTTAAAAAACTTCATGGTTTTAAAAGAATAATCGAATACTGCGATTACAACTTCTCAAGTGTCGAATGTATTTTATTTTTTAGAAACAATTGTAAATGGCGAAACAAGTGATAATCGGTTAATGAAATATATATATATAATCTGGTGGATATAGTGTATGCGATCAAACATTGTCATGCAAAAGAATAGATTCATCTCTATTGATTAATGCGAGTTGTTTCTTAATTAATTTCTTGGCAATGTGCTGAATTTTTGAAATCACCATCAAACAATCTTCTCATCGATAGAAAACTTCTCCGAAAGCTAACCTAATATTTCGATATGCTTCAACTGCATGTGATCCAGCTTAAACTCATATAGGAATGATCTTTTAAATTCGTTCACTTCTTAAAAAATAATTAAAATAATACAAAAAGAAACATATTACACAAAGAAATGTAAGAGAATAACGTTAAGATATGCTAAGCAAAAAATATAGGTTAAGTAGAGTTTACAAGTCGCAGTCGATTGTTACTTACTTTGAAATTGGCAACTTCATGCGGTACAATCTAATAGTATAGTTCACCGGTAGAAAGAAGTCTCGCGAATCTGATTGGTCAACGTGGAAGGAAACGCCTATTTTCACACGCATTTTTCTTTCTACCATGGTATTTGTCACATATACTAATTCAGAACAACGATCTGTATTTAAACCTCGATACGTAGCATAGGCATAGAATCCAGAGAATTTTATCGATATAATATAAAAATTTTTTTATTTTTCATCAATTCTAATTACGATTCATAACAATAATTTAATTTATATATATATTTTCGCATTCGAGTATATCAATAAGCTAAAAATAGTTTCGAAAATATTTCAGCTTCCAGTCTTGGATGATTATCCTAACGTAACTTCATGAAAATGAAAATAATTTTTATAATTTTGAATATTCAAATTATAATTGAATTATATTCTTCTACTACTTACTATGTAATAAATGATATCAAGATTATTGACAAAGCATCTAAATTGAAGCAAGACTTCTTTTCATTAGTGAATTATATTAATTCTTTTTTTACGTTATTCGAGAATATTCGTCGGTAAACAAAAATTTCAGAAAGAAAGGTTAATCCACGTTATGGAAAATTCGATTTAATAAAATCGTTTGTACGTTACGATTGTTCACGATGCCAAATCGTATAATTCGATAAATATCGAGATAACGATACGAATTCGATACACGGTTCCACCGATGAAATCGATTCCAATGCTTCATCGTATTAATTATCAAAATGCTATCCGAAATACTAAATCTGTCTTACTTGAAATCATTTATGAGAATTTCTAACTATACAAATTCTCCACCATTTTATCCGCTCGAT